TGTGTGTGTGTGTGTGTGTGTGTGTGTGTGTGTGTGTGTGTGTGTGTGTTGGGATGCTTCTCCCTGTTGGGCTTCCCCATTAACTCATTCGGCGATTGTTCTGTGTAGGGTGTGGAGACTAACCGCCTCGGATGTAACTAACCACTGCAAACTCTTCTAGGTCTGCCCTACTTGAGAGAATGCCTGTCATGGAAAAAGTGACCACAAATGGCCCTTCTGAGATTGTGCAGACAAATGGAGAGACAGAACCAGCTCCACTAGAGACTAAACCACCACCCTCTGGGCCACAACCCACCAGCCAGGTAGCCTTGACTGAGGCTCCTGATGATATTTTAGTTCCTGTAGCTTATTTCTTAGCTGTTGTCCTTTAGTATTTTTTGATTGCTTGATAATTGCTGTCCTTAATGTTAAGTTTTGGGGAAAAAACTGTGTTAAATACACTTTAGACAGATAACTTATGAAGGTATTATTTCCTTATTTAGGCCAATGATCTGTTGGATTTGTTGGGAGGAAATGACATAACACCTGTCATTCCAACTGCACCGACAAGCAAACCAGCATCTGCTGGTGGAGAACTTCTTGACTTGCTGGGAGACATCACCCTTACAGGTGAAGCCACATTGGAGTTACTTACTTTTTGGGTAGCGATAGACATGGCGAAATGATACCGAATGCATTTTTTTCTTAATGGTTATTTTTGGTGAACAGTAGTTAAAACATTTGAACTTTTTTGTTCTTCTGGTTTGGTCTGTGCTTTTTTTGTATTTTGTTTGGGACTTTTTCTTTAACCTGTGTTTGAAGTAATTGCAGTGCTTCCCTGAGATTGACTTTCTGTTGGAATTTGTTTTAGGTGCTCCAGCTGCTGCTCCTACCCCTGCCTCAGTGCCACAGATATCCCAGCCCCCCTTCTTGTTGGATGGGCTTTCGTCACAGCCTCTCTTCAATGACATCGCTCCAGGTACAGTTACCACCCCATCCTCTCTAGAGCACTGAGTTGTGGCTATTGAGCAAAAGGAGTGCTGATTCATCTGTTGTTAGCTGCCTCCAATGTGACTGATCTTCCTGTAATTTCCAAGGCATCCCCTCCATCACAGCGTACAGTAAGAACGGCTTGAAGATAGAATTCACCTTTGAACGGTCAAACACCAACCCCAGTGTAACAGTGATAACGATACAGGCCTCTAACAGCACAGAGCTAGACATGACGGACTTTGTTTTCCAGGCTGCAGTACCAAAGGTATTACAGTGGCTTCTCTGCCTATTTATTTTGATTAAAAATTAGCTTACTTTGTTTTATGCATTTGATAAAAAATGTATTTAATGTTGAGAGATTAAAATTTCAGATTTAACTTAAGTCAGCAGTGTTACAAAATCATTGTGGTTCATTGAAGCATGCCATTTTAGTCAATACGTTTACTTTGTTACACACTTTACTTTTTTTTTTTTTTTGTATGTATTTGGATGGGACTCTGTAATTGTATGCTCTGTGTGTGTGTGTGTGTGCGCGCGTGTGCGTGCGTGCGTGCGTGTCTGTCTGTCTGTCTGTCTGTCTATATCCAATAAAGCCAGAAAAGGGTATCTGAACCCCTGGAACTGCAGTTATAGGTTGTGAACTACCTGATGTTGGTGCTGGGAATTGAACCTGGGCCCTCAGGAAGAATAGCAGTTGCTCTTAACTGCTGAGCCCAGTGACTCAGGCCCAGTAACTCTAGACCCAGTGACAGATACTCTTTCCGGCAGGGTAATGAAAGAAATTTAGCTGGATATGATGGCACATGGTTTCAATCTCAGCACTTGGAGGAAGAGGCAGGAGAATCGCCATAAGTTCAATGCCAGGCTTATCTAAGTAGTGAATTTTTAGACTAGCCAGTGCTACATACATAGTAAGACCTTATTTTTTTTAAAAAAGTAAACCAAAACCTAGGATTAGTGAGAACTGAATTTTATAAGATGGTAAGTTAATGCTTGAGTATTGAGATGGGTTTACTAATACAGTACCAAAGAGCTAACACCACAAAATTTAATATAGAATTTGTTAATCTAGATAAAGGCCGATTTTGTCATTACATTAGAATTAAATTTTTTAAAAATTATAGGTATTTTAAACCTTAAAAGTTACACTTTTTGCCGGGCGGTGGTGGTGTACACCTTTAATCCCAGCACTTGGGAGGCAGAGGCAGGTGGATTTCTGAGTTCAAGGCCAGCCTGGTCTACAGAGTGAGTTCCAGGACAGCCAGGGCTACACAGAGAAACCCTGTTTCAAAAACTTTAAAAAAAAAAAAGTTACATTTATTTATTTTGTGTGCTGGTTAATGTGCTTTCATGTATGTGTGTGGGTACACATGTCATAGTGTGTGTATAGAGGCTGGAGGACAATGTTCAGAAGGTGGTTCTCTCTTTCTACCATATGGGTTCTGTGTATTGAACTCTGGTCATCAGTGTTGGTGGCAAGAACTCATTGAGCTATCCCTCCAGCCTCAGAAAATTTCCTGTCTTCATACCTGGGTGAGTGAAGCAGTCCCCTCTGTAACCTCCAGTTTACTAATGAAACAGTGACTGTTTTGTAAATTAAGGTGTTTTAAATTTTAACAAATCTTAATTTTTAGGAATATTTACATTCATTTTTGAATACTGTAAAAATTTTAGTGAAGTTTACAATGGGCAGAGTACAGTGGTTTTCTCTGAAAGATAGCGCTTCAAGCTGTAGCCAGCATACAGGTGAGCGAGCATGGCTCTGTTCCAGTAGAATGTTAGAAACAGGTACTAGGCTGTCATTTGCCAGGCAGTGCCTTAGACTGAGCTCATTTGTACTAGTTTAACTAAAGCTAATCTTAGCCTAACTTACTCTTTCTGTGACATTCAGCACCGCATATATACAACACGCATTTGGAAGCTGGTAGTGCTTTATTGTAGCTTCTGTTCATTTTTGTTGACCTTTGCTCATAATTTTTAGATCCTGTATAATTTATGTGTTTTAAAGTTATGTGACATAGGTATGTCACAATAAATTCTAGAGCTTTTCTATTTTGATCTTAGTACTAGTTGTGTTCCCTGAAGTTGGTCAATCTCTGTTTCTTCATTTGCAGAGAGCGGTGATGATGATAGCTCTTTGTTAGTATCACTTTGACAGTTACTGAGGTTCTTATGTTGGACCCAACTAGATGCCCTGTCCTTGTGTTTAGTGCTCAAGAAGTGTCCGTTGTATAACCTAGGGTCTTTATAGTAATGACGCTACACTGGCTAGCAGCATCACCTTTGTATGGCTTTGTTTTGGGTATTATACTAGGCACTACATTTTGCTGGTGTATCTTGAGCTTCAAGATGCTACATTTAATAGATTCTACTACGTAGCTTTCATTTTTTAGTGTCTCTGAAATTGAACTTGATACCTTAGCGCTGAGGATGTAGCTCAGCAATGAAGCACTTGCATATATGTACACACACACACACACACACACACACACACACACACACACACGGCTCTGAGTTTGATCACCTCTTCCCCATGCCATAGAAAAGTAAACTTGATGTCTAGTCATGGTTTAATGGGAAGCTTTTTTTCTTTTTCAGTGCTATATAAAATAACTGTTTGCATAGTTGATAGTATCTTAAGTGTAATGAAATATATTCGTAATGACATTTTCACCTATCATAATTCATTTTGAGAATAAATTATAAATGAGACCAAAGATAATAAGCCTGTGCTTTCAGTTTGACTTCTTCCTTTTCTAATATTTGACTGTATAAAAGGGTTCCTCTGTCAGTCAGGAAAGGGTTTTTACAGTGTGGCTTACCTGGCTTGCTTAAAGCACTTTCTTGTTTTATCTCTGTCAACAGATAAAAACCTATCCACACTCAACAAATTAAGATATTTGGCTTATCTTGGTCTTTTGTTGTTTGGGCTGGTTTGGTTCTGCATGTACTTTTTCTTTAGGGCCTTGTGTCACAGGAACAATCCTGAATGTTCCAGTATATATTAACAGCTGGCTTTTCAAGCCAGTCCTTCACTTCTGTTGTAGGGCAGACCTCGGCATACCTTGGCGTAAGGCACATTATTCAGGCTTTAGGAAAACAAAAGTCCAAGTCCCTGAGGCCTCTAGTCATCAGGTTACACAGAAACATAAAGGTCTATAGTCAGTGACTACTATGTTGGTTTATTATATTTGGAAAGCTTTTCTTTCAGGTTCTTTTTGGCTTTGTTTCAGGACACAGGCATCCAATCTTTACTTGCAGAGTTGATCAGTTACTACTAAGCAGGGTTTCCAGAACAAGGGGTGTTACCTTTTGAGAAGTGATAGTCCCTTAGCTAGAAACAGGAAAGTGGCACCTTTATGTCTCCACAACCAGAGATTTGAATTGAATGAGTGACATTTTGCTTATATATCTTGGGTAGGTGTCTGGAAAATAAGCATTAGAGAAACCTGTTTCTTGACCCATCTGCTGGCTGTCTAACTTCTTACTTGCTGACATCTCTGACTTTACACTGCTGTTTGTTCTCAAGTGTGCCCTTCGTTCCTTTGTAGACATTCCAGCTGCAGCTCCTGTCTCCTAGCAGCAGCGTTGTCCCAGCATTTAATACAGGGACCATCACACAAGTCATTAAAGTTCTGAACCCACAGAAGGTGAGTAGTACATCTGAAACAGATCTGTATAAGGTGTAAGCTCATTTTATAAAATAAATCTTTGTTTCAGTTTTGTTTATTTGTTTCTGACTCAGATCTAGGAAAATATCTGGTCTAACTTCCTTGTTCTTTTATAGAGATAAACCAAGCCCAGGGATGTCAAAAAGATTAGCAACTAAAAATTCTCTATGGTGAGGATTAAAGGTATAGTTTTGAGGATTTAGCAAAAGTTTAAATAAATCAGAGGTAAAATCATTTGTTGAATCAAAAATCTGTATTTACTGCTGATATTAATATAGTTATTAAAACTGGAATCATTTTAAGTGAAATAGTTAAATGAAAAATAGCAGTAGAAACCAAGTTAGCAAGAGTTTCACTATACTTTCTCAATGAAATCGACTGGTCTTACTTCATAACTGTCTGATTTTTCAGTTTTTGCTTTTCAAGCTCTTGGCTGTTTCCTCTTCCTATATTACTTTGCCTGTTCTCAGTTCTTTTCTTGTATCTTGATCATGTCATTACTACAAACAAACACACATTATTTTTATCATCTAATACTTGCAACAAAACTTTTTTAAATGTCTTAATATTTGACATTTGCTACATAAAGTACAATACAAGCCGGGCGGTGGTGGCGCACACCTTTAATCCCAGCACTTGGGAGGCAGAGGCAGGCAGATTTCTGAGTTCGAGGCCAGCCTGGTCTATAGAGGGAGTTCCAGGACAGCCAGGGCTACACAGAGAAACCTTGTCTCGAAAAAAAAACCATAAATAAATAAATAAATAAATAAATAAATAAATAACAATACATTTCAAACCATTCCTGTTACCTGTGTACCCAGGGATTTCTTTTATGCTTTGGAAATACAGACATAGATGGTGTTCACTGTGGGGTTCACAAACCACCCAGCAGGTGACCCATATGTAGAAGATGTGACAGTGTGTTTCCTCATTTTCTAGAGACTTGGCAGAGTTAAATCTTTTGCCCCCTTACCCCCCCCCTCCACCCCACCCCACCATTGGGGGCCTACTTGGTATTCTAGATGTGCGTGTTCTCTACTTTATGGCCTTGATGTTGATTCTTAGGCTCCAGTCTAGAGTGATATGTTTTGGCACTGGCTGTTTTTCTGTGTGCCACTTGAGACAACTTTACTTGGATGTACTTTATTTACCTTTGGGATTAAATACATCTGTTGAGTTGGGCATGGCGGCATGTGCCTGTAGTCTTCAGTGCCTGGGAGGCTGAATCAGAGTTATCACTTGAACTGAAGGGTTTGGGGCTAGCCTGGTCAATGTAGTGGAACCCTGTTTCCAAGAAACAGTCTGTTTATAAACTAGAGAGAGAGGGAGGGGGTATTTAATTTCAGTGAATTAATTTATGGTTCTCTTTCTCTTTTATAGCAACAGCTGCGAATGCGGATCAAGCTCACATATAATCACAAGGGCTCAGCAATGCAAGATCTAGCAGAAGTGAACAATTTCCCCCCTCAGTCCTGGCAATGAGGGTGCAGCACCATTCTCATTCTTACCCCACTCAATCAAAGGAATTCTGGGAAGGAGGTTGTGATTGCTGGCAAGTCCCCCCAACTGTACCATGGGCGCGAGGAGCTGAGAGAACTGTTGAGGAGGGTTTTCCTCAAGTTACTGCTGACCTTGAAGCATCAGTAAAGACTAATGTCCTCTCCTCCGCTGTTGAGGTTGGCTGCTTCTCGAGGCTACTTTGCACTCTTCCTCCTCTTCTCCCTTTTCTGCACTTCACCCCTCCCACATTTGCAGCCAGAATCAACATTCTCTGGGCCACTGAGGCAACCAGCAGCTGGCCTGGAGGAGAGGACTGGAATTCACGGCAAGAAAACACTCACTCGGTCTCTGCAGCAAAGAGTGGCCCCTACTTTCTACTGTTGTATCTCTGTGGACTGGGCAAGGTGGGGTGTTTATTCCTCACTAGCTGGTTACCATCATAAGGCGCTTTTGACGTCAGGCATTTGGAATGGAATTGTAACAATGGACATAAGGGAGCCCTGCCCTTTTCTGCTGGTTCTCCCAATGTTTGAAAGAGGTGTTAGGCTCCTGGAGCCTTTTCTGTGCATTGCTGTATACACACAGACACACATGTATGTATGTTTGTTATATTAAAAAAAGCTGGTTAGAGCTTGAGAGGTTGTTTGTAAACACTGGACAGATACAGTTCAAAGAGCTTTTGTGGAGATTTGGCATGAAGGATATGGTGCTCTATTTGTAATAGAAACTTCCAAGGCTCTTCCAGCTCCCCTTTCTCTCCATTCTTTAGCTGTAGTCATGAGTTCTCTCTCCATGATTTTCAAGATCAATTTCCATTAAATTGCAAAGTGGACACTTTCTAAAAGACACATGAATAGTTATCAGTGATCCTATTCCCCCCCACAGTCTCTCTCCCAAGCCTGTCACTTGCCTGTTTGAGCTGTGGTAAGTGGGTCAAAAGAAGAGTTCAGTCTTAAGGAGCAGACCCCGTCACAAAACACCATGGCCCATAGGAAGAGCAGTACTAAACTCAAATCTGGAGCACACTGGAGTCGGCTTATCCATTGCTCCAATCCTCCCTTTTAATTTCCTGAGCCTGGCTTGGACCTTGGCATTCCGTTTGAATTCCTTCTTCTAACTGGAACATTTCTGTTGTATCTGTAACACTGGCACTGAAATAAAGACCACACGGTTAAAGAAGTCGTTCCTACATTGTACTTTATGGTGTTGAGATGAAGCCTTGTAGCTTCCTTGCCCCCTGTGTGAGAGAGAGCAAGTCTATGGTCACCATAGGGTAGGAATATCCTTTCCTGACTAGGAGAAATTGGTCTCTTAAGAAACCAATCTCACGAACATTTGCATTAAAGGTTTGAGCTTTTTAAACAGTAAGAGTGCCGAGTGTTTTTTAGAAAAGATCCCGATGTTACCAAATCTTTGTGTTGACTTGCTGGAAGGAGGTGAAGGTGATTGTCTGTGGTACACGTTGAATGTACTATGTATGTTCAGGTATTCAGGCATCATGTCCAGTTTACTGCAGGAGAAAAAAAAGCGGGGGTGGGGGGGTCCTCCTTGCTTGTAAAGCGTTTGCAGTTGTTACTGTATTATGCAGTAAAGTAACACTTTGGCTTCAGTTGATACAAATCTCCTTTTCTCCCTGCTCCATTTCACCACGCCTTTACTTAAAATCTTCAGTGTCTTGTTGAAGCTAGCTCTGTATCAGACGCTAGACGACTCCTAACAGCGACAAACTGGAGTTGAACTAAAGGCTCCAAAAGGGAAAGCTTCTGGTCTTAATAGTCTTTCAAGAGCAAGATTTACTGAAACGTACTTGACTGGGTAAATGGACAGCTGAGTTACAAACAGGATAGTTCTCCTGTATTCAGCAAAACAGGTGTGGACAAGTGCAGACTTTTAGACAGCCGCTCTGTGCAGTGAAAGCCTTTAGGATTTCCTGCAGACAGATTTCATTGGATGGATATTTAATGCTGTGAAACGTGATAGGATTAATGCTGTATTGGTGGATTTCTTGAATAGAATTTGTCTTAACATTCCTTTTTGTGTGGAGGCTTTATTTTCTCCCTTACATTTGTAGCTAACCAGCTCAGGTTTTTGGTTGATTTTTGTTGTTGTTGTTGAATTGAGTTGAATCTGAAGAAATCTGCTCAAGACCAAGTGCTAGCCGATGGAGCTGGAAAGATCTCCTCTGCTGACAGAGCATCTGCCTGGGTGATGAGTTTTGAGGTAGCATTTACGATCCATCGTCCATGGCTTTATCGAGAAGGAATCAAAATATCATGGCCTTAACACAAAGGGTGCTGTGTAGATACAGATTTCATTTGGGAGACGACCTGAGCACCATACTGACGGACTAGCAGCCAAATACCTGCCTAGGATGCTGATGGTTGTGAAGACGGTCCCAAGTGATTGGATCTTTGAAAGCTTCAGCGTGCCTTCTTAGTTTCTAGGATCAGCATTAGTTCTCTTCTCACTTGGCCTTGCAGCTTAAAGGAGAAATCTCTGCGTTTCTGTGACTACTCACGCATTTCAGTCATTCCTTTTCCACATGTAGCCGTTCAAGAGGAAACAGATTTGGATGCATTTGACAACCTCAGAGCCATTGTGAAGAGAGGGATTTCTGTGACTTTCGAATAAACCCAAGGTGATAAGTAGTGAGCCCCACTTACTGACAGTTTTACACGCACTCGTACCTCATTAGCGTCGCCTTCTTTGAGGAGTAGTTTTTATGTCATCCCTCTTTCCCATCCCAGAGTCATCCTAAGGGAGAATTCCTCTAAGTAATCTCAGACAACTGTAGATGTTTCTCCCACAATGCTTTGGTGCTGTTACCTTGAGATGGTTTAGGAAGTCATGGAAGTTTTCTCCTGCGTATGTCATCATCTGTTAAACTTCGAGGTCTTTTTTCATTTAAAGCAACATTCCTCAGTGTAACAGTACAGGTATTCCTTGCTTAGTTACTGGTGTGGTTCTTAACCTTTGTGTGTCTCCCTCATATATGAAAATAGACTTTTAAAACTGTCCAGCACTAATAGTTTGAAAATTTCCATCTCCTATATAACATGCTTTCCATTTCTATGTCCTTTTAGAAAATATTGGAAGTTAGGAATTACCCCTTTTGTGGTTCAACTTTATTTTCTTCTACATTGGAAAATATTTCACCCGTGAGAACTTGGGGAAGGAGGAGTTTGAATGTGTATTTTTTTTTCCTACTGAATGTATTTTAACTACGGTGTCCTAAACTGAGAGAGAACAACAACAACAAAAAATGCATACTCACAAACTTTGTGGTTGGGAGGGCTGTATATGCTGGAGTATTTGTCAGTCTGGGTGTGGGGGAAGAGAGAATTGCACAGGAAGTTCTGAAGTTTAAAATACTTCTGACCAGTTTTGGCTCTGGAGGGTGGGGCTGTTTGTGGAACTGAAAGTGAAAACCCTTTTCAAGCAATAGCAGTGAGTGGGTCCCATGGACAAGGTTCCATTCCCAGATCCTGGAACTCTTTAAACAGAAGAAAATGCTGAAGCGGCTGGAAGCAGCTTGAGCAGTTGCTTCTTGATCCTGGCTTCAAGACAGAGCATTGGAGACTTTTTTCCCCTTAAGAACCTGCATTTGCGCTTTGTGTGTTTTGTTTTTATTCTTATTTGGGGACCTCATGGGAGAGGGCTTCTGCACTCCTTCCTTTGTGAACCCCACTGTGTTCCTGTATCGTCCTTCTCCTTTTACTATGTTGTAAGTTACGTTTTCATTAGGCCCCATCACATCTTCTTTACTGTAAAATTATTAAAAGGCTGTTTCCAAGTGGGGCAGCTAATGAAGTTCTAATTATTGCAGACATATTTTTGAGATGTAAAAAAATTTAAAGTGAAATGATAAGTCTTGAAGGCGAGTGAGGAATAAAACGGATGTAAACATTTACATGGGATGCATTCGGATTCTGCTGTGTGTATTGTCTTTTGGTTGAAACAAATTATGAACAGTGACTAATAATAAAAAGTCAATACTCAATGATTTCAACTTTGCTGCCTTGCTTCTTGCATGTGAATCAGAAGCCTTGGATGAATTCTTACTCCAAAGCTTTGAGCTAAACCAAGCCTTCTAAATGTTCCTTTGAGCAAAAATCTCACCTAGAGAAGAAACATTTAAAAACCTTGTAGATGTTTTACACAGAAAAGTCCAAAGAGCAAGTGGACATTTAACTGGAATGCAGTTACTGTCAGGCTTGTTCTCTCCACATAGTCGAGCCCTCAAAGCTATGAAGCCACTATGATGAAGTATGTATTAAGGGTACCCATGTTTCATTATGTTAGATTTTGTGTTTTGTTTGTTTACTTGCTTGATTTTGGTGAGTTGTTTTGGTGACTTGATAGAGAAAGGCCTAACTAGCCCAAATGAAATGAATGACATTCCATGGCTTATTTTGCATAACACATGAATTCCATTTTTATGTGTGTGCATATAGGCAGGCGAAAGGTCAGCCTCAGGTGTTGCTCTAAAGGTGGTGTTCCTCAGAAGCCAGTCACCTTGCTATCTGAAACAAAGTCACTCACTGGGACCTGGGGTTCACCCATGAGATAAAGCTGGTTGGCTAACAAGGCCACCTCATCTCCACATCCCCAGTGGTGAGATTATATTACAGCTACCTTGGGGAGTTCAGGTCCTCATGCTTACATGGCAAATTATCTTCACAAACTTGATAAAAAAATTTTTTGCTGAAGGTTGAAAGCTCTTGGTTTTCTGTTAACTGTCACGATCCCTAACATTCCCTTAGTTGAGAATGGAGAAGATACGACAGTTCTAGATTGAAGAGGGGAAGGGTGTGGGCCTGGGCAGATTATCTCCTTTCTGCAGCAGTGCCCTTTGGCACCGTTTCATAACATTTCTATAAACTTGCTTTCTACATGGAGTAGATAAAATATATCCTTACTATATTTAAGTTTAGATGGTGGAAATCTTAAATATAAAGGTGAAACTATAAAAGCTAGCTTAGCCAGTAAACAGACACTAGACATTTATTTAACAGTACAATGGGTTGTGTGTAGGTTTGAATGTCATTCCAGAACTACAAGCTTAATTTTAATCAACTTGAACAGCTTCTTATTCTGTTATCTCCAGTTCAGCTGTCTTCAGATATGAAAAAAAAAATGTTCAGCGGTTGGAGGTGCAGCTTACTGGTAGAGTGCTAGCCTAGCTTGTATGAAGTCCTAGGCTCACTTTAAAAGAAGAAACACAAATATTCCTTCAAACTTTGAAGTCAGGTAAAGATTGTTTGGAACCAGAAGACAGACACTAAACCTGCTTATCCTGTGGTAGCATAACAATGGGTTTGGGTCCAAAGAAGACTTTGTGATCACCGAAAGACTAGAAACTAGGTATCAGTAAATAGGAAGTTCCAGGCTCCTCTACCAAGGTTGGACATTAGCTTTCTTCCTCCACAGTGGACTGGAGAGGTAGAGTGTGTGTATGGTTCCTCAATAGGAAGGGAGTGGAGGGACCCTAACGATTCTTTGCCTTCGTATAATGTGTAGTGAGGAGCCTGCAGTGATGGCAGATGGTTTTTGTGTACACACACATACACCCCACACATACATAAATCCCAGAGGAATTTATTTTTAGGGTTAGTCTCAGCTGTTCACCATTTCCAGAAATGATGGTTACATAACACTTGGCATGCATAATACATGTTGCCTTGAACTGGGGGTGAACACCAATTGTGACCTTTGTAACAGTATCCTATGTTAATGGCAGTCCATAATTTGAAAAGGAAACATCAGCTGATTATTGCTGACGAACTGGTTCTGAAGCAATGGGGACCTTTGAAGGTAGCTGCTTATAAAAACTGATTCCCTGAGGCATTTGGGCCAGGGCTCTTGGGGTATTTCTTTTATAAGTGGTATTGCCAGTTTGAAGTAGTAGATACTTAGCTTTTAGCATATGGATTCATTTTGAATCGATGGTGTAGGCTACTATCCAGATAATGACAAAGATAACCATCTACAAAGCATTGCTGTTCCCCAGTATGAACTGATTGCTGGACTTGGGACAGCAATGTGATAAGTCACATTCGATTTGTAAAAAGGTAATCTGTAGTACCTCAAGAAACAGGCTTTTAAAAACATCCCCAGCTCTCTCCCTGCCCTTGGCTATCTACTTCTGTCTTCATGTCGGTGCCTGGCCCATTAAAAAACCAGTATGTTTGCAGTGAAATCAACTAGGGTTAGAAATCCAACTCAATCAGGTAGGTGTCTGAAATAATTTCAAAGTAGAAGGAAAACCCTGGGAAGTAGCTTCTCTTTCACCTTTTATTAGACTTGGCAGAGAGAAACTGTGCATGCTTATTGTAGTAAAAGTAAAGCAAAGAAAGGAAGATTGGGACTGTGATGAAGACAGAAAATGCCTTTTATAGAAGAAATGATTTGTATGAGGCAAAAACCTTTGAGACAAAGTTTTATCTTGACATGTCAATTAACTCCAAATTCAAAACAAAACAAAAACCCTCTTAAGACAGGTCCAGTTCTATCTCAAATGCTGTTGCTTTTAAGCCTACAACTGAAATACTCCAGACAAATAGTTCCACAGGCCAAACTGAAGCAGTGGATAATAGATGACCACCTTTGCCAGTTATTCTAGAAGTTGTTTTGCTTTTTAATTCCTTACAAGTTGGTTGACTATTCAACATATGTATGAGAGGAAGCCCTAAAAAATGAAGAGATCTAGAAAGCTCCTTACAAAATGTAAGCAGTTTAATGCTAATCACCTTTAGGGAAATCTAGAATTTCAGAATTACAGTGGCTACTGTGAATCTTTAATATGAGTTAAACTCTTTGTGTGTTTTGTTCACTACACCTTGATAACTGCCAGGAAGATGTTAATCTACTTCGTTCACCCCTTAAGAACCAATGCAAGGGTCTTGAGAGATGGCTCAGTGGTTCAGTGCACTGGCTGCTCTTCTAGAGGACCCAGGTTCAACTATTTTTTTGTTTTGTTTTGTTTTTTTTGAGACAGGTTCAACTCTTAGTGCTTACCTGGCAATTTATAATCGTCTATAACGTCAGGTCCAGAGGATCTGACACCTTCTTCTGGACTCACCAGGCATACACGTGTGTTGCATAGAACTAATACCCATAACATAATGGAAGAACCACTGAAAGCTGGGCATAGTGGTGAACATCTGCACTTGGGAGGTGGAGACAGGAGAATCTAAACGTTCAAGGCCAGTTTTGGCAGAGTTCGGGTCTTCCTGGGCTACGTGTAATTTTCTGTCTCAAAAAAAATACGAAAGAATTAAATCAAGTAATTTGTACATGTATAAATCTAATGAGTACGACTGAGATTTAGAATTAGGCAGACTCATAATTTGGTCCACTAACCACAAAACTATCATTCCAGGAGCTAAAAGAAGAGCCAACGTTTAAAATATACTTTGGTGAATTTAAGCCTTGTAAAATAGAAAGAGGGCTTACGCACCATGTTACTGCTTGAGGACGAGAAAGGAAATCTGATATTTTGATTACAGGAAAAGGACACGGACGTGTGGCTGGAAAGCTTAGTGTACTTAAGTTGGTTGATGAAGAAGGTCGCCAGCTATCCTAAGAGATGTGAGTATAAGCAACAGTTTTTTCACCGCCAGTGGGTGCCAGGGGACAGGCACATTTGGGAGCAGGAAACGTCTTGGATGGAGAATTCCAGCGCCGCCCATGGTGGAGGGTTGTATCTTGTCTATCTTAACAGGTTCAGGCCTTACCTGTCTCTTCCTCTGGCCGCTTCTTGGAGGATCCAGAAAGCACCAAATTGCTCTCCCTGTGCCCTTAGTCCTCTGAGCACAGGGTGGAGCGCAGCGGAGGATAACACTGCAGCGGCGCCAGCCTCCCGCAATTCTGCTCCGGCCTCTCCAGGCCGGCGACTACGCAGGTCCAGCGGGGCCAGGGGCGGGGCCGACGGGGGTGGAGCGTCTTGGTTAGGGGCGGGGTCTAGGCGGAGGGGCGAGGCCTCCCGCTGCTCGCGCGCGCCTCCGAGGCTCGCGCTGTCGCGCCGGCCAGGAGTCTCCGTAAAGCCTTGGCCGCCAATGGGGGAGGTGGAGCCCGTGCCCGCGGGGCCGCTGGAGCCCCCGGAGCCACCTGAAACGGCAGCGTCTCGCCGGCCGGGAGGGATTCGGGTCCTAAAGGTGAGGCGGCAGGGGGAGGGAGGAAGCAAGAGGGCCTTGGCCGCCCTCGCCAAGCTGCCCGAGGCGGCGGGCGCCCCCCGCCCTGCGTCCCTGGGCCGCTTGCACTTGGCCGGGCCGCCGCGGGCCTGCTGTGGGCCTCCGTGCCGCGCCCCCGCCCGGGCCTCGGCCGCCTGGGTCCCCGGCGCTGTCCATCCCTGACCGCCGCCCGGCAGGCCCACGCCTTCGGGCAGCCGCTGCCCACACCCTCCTTCTTTCCCACATCCCCGGGACCGACGTCGTCTCGCTGGGCCTAGCCCGGGGCTCTGGGACGGGTTCCGGGGGGCTCCGAGGGCCGGCCGCGCCTGGCGGGAGTCAGGCGGCGAGTACGCAGGGCTCGGCGGACACCTGAAGACATCACCCCAGCCGGAGGATGGCGGCGGCGATTGGCCAGGCGCCGCGGTGTGCGCGGGCTGCGCCGGCGGGAGCGGCCACGCTGCCCTCGGGACTGGTTACCGGAGTTCCGAACCGGCTCTCGGTTCCAAGACGCGATACCCTGCTCTTCCCGCTCGGGGACAGTCCCGGAGGATCTGCTGTCTGAGGACCCGCTGGGCGTGTAGCAGGGGTGGGGTGGGGGGAGGGAGCAGAGCCCGAAGGGGCACTCCTGCTTGGCTGACAATCCGGGGAGAAGGCAGTGGGGGAGCGGTTATGCAACAGGCATCTAAGCGGGGCTTTTTGGTAGAATCTGGGGAGTAGGAGGATAGGAAAACAGATGCAGGGGAAAGGGGAGTAGAACCTTGAAGGTGAGTGATGACAAGAAGTTTCTATGCAGGAAGAATGCAGAAGGTGAGGTGAGGTGAGGCCAGCAGAGATGGTT